GAGTTTTCATGATGTGTACAGTACAGTGATAACCCTTGTCCGTTTTCTGCCATGTCCGTTATGGAACCTAAATGGCCAATCTCTAAGCAACTGTTTTGGGAAATATCACATAATTTGTCATGTACATCCGTGACTGTCGAATGTTACCGATTCACAAAGTAAAACAAGATTTCTTTCTTTAAATTTAACCTTACTGTGCATTTACTGTTAAGAAAACTGTCAATCTGTTGTCAGTTTCGCTGGAATTGCCCATATATATTTTCTGCACGATAAATGCAAAGCGTGGTATATTTTGGTACATATCACCACATGGTCTAAATTGCAAAGGATTATTTGCATGTACTAATGCACGCACACGCATCACCTTTTGCATCGCCCCATTTCACAATCTTAGACCAAAAATACAACGAAAAAAAACTACACGAAAAACAGTTTAAACTTATTAAAGTTTTGATCTGAAACTGGTGAAATATCAACAAAAGCTGCAAAAAACGTCTTGGGAACACCATACACGACAGTTCGACGTTTGATGCCTCATAGTTTGACGCACACACCTGAGCTACTGTGAACATGAATTTTGTGTTTTGACTAAAGGCCCCCGCACACGGTGAGATTCGTGCTCAGCAGGAACCTCCCACCCCCGCACACGGTGAGTTTTTAGCCTCGCGAGACCAAAATTTGCGGGTGCCAGTCTTGTGCACGGGTGCACGAAGCGGTCACTGGAGCGGGTGCACGACTGAACCAATCAATAGCAAGCAATTAATGTCAGGAACATAATATCAAATCGTCCAGGTATTTTGGATTTTTAACTAGTTGAGAAACAATCTTATCAGGTAAGAATTTGACGATACGTTTAGTCCCGTTAGTTCTTACTTTTAATCTAAAAAAATGGCAACAAACATTTTACAAATTTTACCATAGAAAATTCGCGACGTAGTCAATTTAAAGCGTTGGAATTTAATTTCGTCAGAACACTGCAAGTGTTTGCCTGAGTTTAATATTAACATTTAGGGCACTACAGTAATTGGAATACATGTGCACGAAGGCATTTCTTTTTACTGAAAAGGACCAAAGTAGCTTACTTTTTGTGTGACGTCATGTGTTATGTTATGTTATGTTCTCGTACTTGTCGGTGTCCAGTACACTGGATATAGTGACAAGGTAGTGAGTGCCTTCAGGGATGAACCCAATAAACAAACAACAGATGCATAATTATAATGAGTGCAATGCTACTCATGGTGTCGCGTGCAAGTTGGAGTGAAGCCTTGACTTGAAAGTGTCAACGTCAGTTGCTTCCACAACACGCACGGGTAGGTTGTTCCAGATTGGAATCATCCGGAGAAAAAAGAGAATTTAAATGCGTTGTTGTTGCATGGCAAGTGCCGAAATTTGTGGTTTTTCCCCGATCTGGTACCTGACACCGCAAGGGTCCCAGATAAATCTATTCGCCGGTAGTGCTATGAGGTGGTTTACAACGTTATAGTTATACATCACGACAATCGAGTTGAAGCGTCTACGATACATAAGTTGCTGCCACCATGTGACTATCAGCGCATTGTTACTCGTACGGGGTGCCGTATACCAGGGCTGCCAGTTCTCACGCATTCGGCATGAGACTCATGCAATTGAAGCTAATCTCACGTTCTCACTCCGGGTCTGCTAATTCTCACGCATGATACAGAAACAAACAGATGAAAAAATCCGAAGTATACTCTAGAATCTAGATAGAGCATTTCAATTTGCTGAACAGTTCTAGACCTCGTCCATACTTGCCAATGAGAACAGTTATATGTAAGTGACTTTCGCCTATGAAGCTGAAATTAGTGCACACATTATTATGGAAATGTTCAGTCAATTTAATACATATAATTTGATAAACTTAAAAAGTGAAAATGAGTACTCATACTAACACAAAACTGCAATTACTGGTGCATAGCTACTTGAGCCTAGGATGTCATATATGCCAAGAAACATAAGCCATTTTTATACAGATTGAATTTGACTGTCACCTTGCAAGTAGAATAAAGGACCGAACAGTAGAGGTCATATATAAATACAATTCCAAGCAGGATCTAGTGATGTGTTGTTTTGAGCCATTCATACATGTACATAATCGAGGGTACAACACGTTTGGGTGTTGGCTACGCTGAGACTACGTCTTGGCTCCGCTTAACGGTAACCCCCTCACTGACGACTGAACTTACCAATACGCCAATTAATTGCGTGTATTCAGTGTGGACTGATGGCGTACTTTAGACTATGTCCTATCTATCTGCCTGTACTAAATGTTCCGTTACATTATTAGCTCCGCGCAAACGGAGCTCATGCAATCGCTCGCGTGTGTGTGTTCGTGTGTGTGTGTAGCCAGCAGCGAGCCAGCTGTTATACACATGCTCAACCGATCGATCGATTCAGCACCAGCTCGCATTAGGGTGTCCAGTCAGCAGCAGCTCGCCTTAGGGCGTCCAGTCAGCAGCAGCTCGCCTTAGGGCGTCCAGTCAGCAGCAGCTCGCCTTAGGGCGTCCAGTCAGCAGCAGCCAGCAGCGAGCCAGCTGTTATACACATGTATACATGTTACACGCTCCCGGAGGTATGCACTCTCTTTGAGTGCCCTCTGTCTAGTTATACTACGAATGAGTAGAATGACACTAACACTGGTAGTAGGCCTACTAGTACTAGTACTAGTAGTAGTAGTACTAGTAGTACTAGTAGTATGACTGAGTATGAATCATATTATTATTATATTAGTATTATTACTATTTTTTATTAGGCCCCTAACACTGAACAGTAACAGTCATACTAACCTCATATCTCATAACTTCATAAAGTGTTAATCTTCAAAAGTCCTGGGGACTATAACGAAGATGGAGAGAGAAGTGGATCAAGTCGGTAGATCCACACTGCGGATCGCAGCGGAAAAGGTTGTAAATTTGCTATAAATTACTAAGGATGAAGGCAGTGAATTCCAATACGGAATCACAGAGACAATTGAAAGAAGCTAAGGCGTTTTTATCTAAGCGAAAGCCCTTTACGGTTTCGCAAATTTTCCATTTATCTGGACGGTTTCGTGAAAGCGCTTTGGTCGTTTCTCGTTTTTATCTAGACGGTTTGCGAAAGTGCTTTGCGCGAAACCGTCGAAATCGCCCCAGCGAGCGATTTCAGACGGTTTCAACATTCAATATGGCGGATAGTCAAACGTAAGTTATTAAGTAGTTTTCTTAATAAATGATTATATAAGAATAATAAGTGAATGTGTTATAAAAACGTACAAAGATCAGCTAAATCCTAACCAAATGGTGATCTATCTTGCGTTGTTTTTATGTAACAAAAGCGCTTTCACCAAACCGCTGGTCACGTGATTTAGGAAACCGATTTACTGATTTCACTTTGATAAAAACGCCTCCAAACTTAAAAGGATCCTTAGAAGTTTGTACATGCCGAAAACAGTGATTATGCTCAGATGAGCGGGTGCAGCGAACAGGCTTCATTAAGCAAGAGGGAATGCCAATTTTCATCTCACCATGATAAATTTTATAGAAAGTTATGAGTTTTGGATGAAGAAAGCGGACACGAAGAGGAGGCCATTCAAGACGAGCCAAATCAACATCAGCACTATCATCATAGTTTCTGGAAACCCATCTCGCAGCTTTATGCTGAATGGTGTCCAATTTAGAGCAGTTCTGAAGTCTATAGACCATTCTTAATTATTATTCATGACCTGGGGTCACGCACGAAAACGAGGCTAAGCTAGGCAATTTTATAAACAATGGATGCTCAGGCAGGCACGCACAGAGGGGGTACACGCACGTACACGTGGGTACACGCACGTACACACAGATACACGCACGTACACGCAGATACACGCACGTACACGCAGGTACACGCATGTACACGCAGACACACGCACGTACACGTACACGCAGATACACGCACGTACACGCGGGTACACGCACGTACACGCACGTACACGCGGGTACACGCACGTACACGCACGTACACGCAGATACACGCACGTGCACGCGAGTACACGCATGTACACGCGAGTACACGCAGGTAAACGCAGATACACGCACGTACACGCAGATACACGCACGTACACGTACACGCAGATACATGCACGTACACGAAGATACACGCACGTACACGCGGGTACACTCACATACACACAGGTACACGCACGTACACCCAGATACACGCACGTACACGCACGTACACGTACACACAGATACACGGAGATACACGCACGTACACGCGGGTACACGCACATGAACACGCACGTACACGCAGGTACACGCGGGTACACGCACGTACACGCACGTACAACCACACCGACGATTTTGGTGGTTTTGGTGTGGGTTAGGATCGGGTTAGGATTAGCTCCAAGAAACGGTATTGCTAGGGTTAGAATACAGGATTGTATAGACAATCCGTCGCACAGCCTGGTCGGGCTAGGTTAGGATGGGCTAGGAGGGGTTAGGAAAGTAGGGGGGGGAGATAGGATGGGGTAGGAAGGTAGGTTAGGATGGGCTAACCCACACCAAAACCACCAAAATCGTCGGTGTGGGCATTGGTCAGAGGAATCTCGGACTAGGAAAGATCCTGGTCCGCCCCCTTTATAAACTGGGGTTATAGGCCTAGAACTTCAGTAGAAGTCTAAAGAGTCTCTTTCCAATCAAAAGGAAGAAAACCTAGATCGTATGACTGACAAAACAAATTGTGTAGAGAATGCCCAAGCTCATGCGCAAAACGATGCAAAATAAAACCAGGCACCTTATCGGAACGAGCAGGCCGAGCAGCCTTATGTGTAGGATATATTTATTACAATGCATTACCGAGCATGCACCCCACTTATACTAAGTTATAGTGTATACGCATACGAGCTTACGCTACAATACTCATTACATAACTAACGATTTAGCGTAAAATTGACATGTTAATCATTATGCCTTAAAATTGCATACATAAATTTATAATATGTACACACATAAATGCATACTTACAAATAATGTTCGCATGTATTGAGGTGACGCGATCAACTGAACAAAATATAGCATCCATTCACCGTCATCGACAACATTGCACATCCACCAAAGGTTACGACTCGCAGCGCCACCTCGTGTATAATTTATACATAATTCTAGTATATTAGTGAATGAAAAGATATTTGTTTTTATTCAATCTTGATGGTCATAGCCTTCTCAACAATTACCTCGGTTAATAATTAGAACAAATGTACATAGAAAATTAAACAAAAATAACAAAAGACAAATATGCTCATCATAGGCACGGCAACTAATAATAAGAGAAAAACGGTTAACAGTGACATATTGACACGTTGAAAAACAGTAACGTGTGGAAACTGACTCTGAATCACTAATGAAGTGGCAATCTCCTCTGCTTAAGAATTTGCTAGGTGACAAAAGCCTTGAGAGCGGATTACATTGCTAATTCAGTAATTGTTTAGGATTGTATTTGTAGGAACTGTTTAATAAAAAAAACAAGAAATGTTGCAGCTGAACAAGTTTATTACAAATAGCATTATTTATATAAGTATAAAATTAATATATAATTATATTAATATTATATTAATATATATATATATATATATATATATTAATTATATTAATATAATTATATTATATAGAATTAGTAAATTATACGTTCAACTACTTTTTCAAACAACCAATGTACTAAAAGGATAACTGGTAAATCAAGTTTATAATACTAATAGTAATACTGCTAACCAACAACAAGGTTTTCTTGCAAGCTTCTATAATTCTAAATCAATGGAATTTTTATAAATGCAAAGAAAATGCACCCCTACAAAATTAACAAGTGCCAAGCTGAAACCGTGCAAACGCCACAACAATACTTATACTTATCAAACCTGAGCCAATGGCAATGGAATTATTATTGATTTCATCACATTCTACACCTACACAAACCCATTTTCTTTAAATCTTTTACTATCCCTAATTACACATTGAGGTTGTCTATGTAATTATAGAAAATATGCAAACCAATATAATGACTAAAGAATGTAACAAAGCACAATCCCAATAGAATTTGCAAAACGACAACTGGTATTACAAACTTAACACATACCACACAATATCACTAACTTAACCACAAGCAATATAAGAGAACCATTGCATATTGTTTTTGACGATCAATACTAATTTCGGGCAACAACTATAAGGACTATGATTAACCTGCCACACATACTAATCCAAGCATTAACATTAATCAGTTACCTTATACAAAAAAACATTTAGTGTTCTTCCCCGAGGTATATAGATATATAGGCTCCATCAAAGCAGAATCTATTTTTTTAACATAATCTCAGCAATTACACATATGGCACACTGCAAGTAACGCTGAGAGGGTCTATATCCCCCAGAGTACTGCTGGAACGTACCCTGGGTACGGTCCGGTATACCGGAACGTACCCTGGTACTATCTAATATGCCAGACCATACCTCGCCTACTTCACTAACGAGTCTAGGGAGTCGCCTACGCCTACTCCCTAACCCTATCAGATACTTACCAGGGTACGTTCCGGCAGTACCCTGGGGGACATAGACCCTATGAGCGCAAGTAACAATCAACTGACAGATCAAGACTCATGTCACTCAAGTTAATCAAAATACCACTCAATTCATAGTTGCATTCAAAATGCATGTTTCGTGAAGAATTTATAGTGACATAAAAATACACATTTATAGTCAGAATATTACGAGAAGTAATGACAATTTCAATTATGAGGTTTTCAAGAGCTCATAAACTAAACTAGTGTATGTACTCTTGTTTCACTTTTTTCTCAATTAAAAAAAATCTTGTCTTAGAAAAGGATACCAGCATAGTCTTGCAATTTTATGCGTATTACTATGACGGATATTTGCACAAATTTATAAGGCAAAATTTGGAAGTGTGTAGGCCCTACATGATTTATTAAAAATCAGCTTAGTTATATAGCAAGTATGTTTGATGATGACCTACGAAAATATTATTTGAGCAAACAGATTGCGATTTGATCAGAAGGGACAGACGACCATAGGTTTTCTGTACTCCTAGAACAAGCCAAATACCTCCTCTGTGTCAGGATCCAAGTCGATATCATAGAAGCATGGTCTAGTTGGCAAGCCAGGCATGGTGCTAATCTGTAACAGACATCAATCACATTAATTTTCAGCGCATAAACAAGTATTCTACATGTGGTTATATGATGAATGCACTAATAGAGAATGTGCAACTAAACGCTGCCTCGAAAAACAAGCGAGACATTTTATAGGCAGGCAATTAACAATGCAGGAATACACTTCAAATTCATGTGAATGTTATTAATAAAGGAACTGCTTAAACATGTATAATTTTGAAAGCACTTGAAACTCGTCTTGATGGAGCATAAACAAAACTGTTTAAGAGCAGCTCTAAACATATCTTGGAGATAATATAAAACCAACAGAGAGCTATATGGCGAGTTGTTACCAGTGTCAGTAGTGCTACGTCAAGGCAGACTGCGATTCACAGGTCACGGTTCGAGGAGCAAGGAAGAGGTTGTGCAAAAACTTCTATTTTGGGAACCAACACAAGGAGGCAGAGAGGACGTCCAAACGTCGCATACATCGTTTGACTAGAGAAGGGCATCAGACATCGGTAAAGAACACATTGGAAAGGCAGTGGAATGCCAGGTCGAGTGGGAAAAACTAGTAAACAGTGACAGAGCTTACTCGACGAGATATAATGACGATGACTAGGACTATACACTCGCCTAGAGCCTCGAGTTCTTAACTCACTAGATTATCGAAAAGTCGCTGATACTAACTGGTACGTGGTACATTAAAACTAATTATGTCCTACTCATATAGGGCAGCCTTTTATGAAGTAAAATTAATAAAAAACATTTTATACCGTTCCAATCAGTGGGTAAATGAACCCTGCACCGACGCTGGCACGCACATTTCTGACCGCGACTGTGAATCCAGTTGGCGCACCCTTGCGGGCGGGGTTGTCAGTCAGTGACAGGTGGGTTTTGGCCATGCAGATTGGCAGGTCATTGAACCCCTGCACACAAGATAACGTAAGTTATAACGACTTCGTGAAAAACTCACGAAGACCGAAATCACTGACATAATAATTCATATCAGGCTACTGAGTCAATATGAATATGAAAAATAGTCACCCCTAAACAAGAATGAAAATGAATTGGATTCATATATCTACACCTATAGCATTGCATGTATTAATAACCTCCTGCAATGGTGAACCGACTTAATACAAACCCACGTTTATACCATTGTAAATTGTTTTACCAGCAACAGCTTCTAAAATCATCCCAATAATGGTGTAAACTCCTTTACTTAAAGGCATACTAGGCCCATTGATTATGCAATGTTGACGAATGCTAGAGTAACTGGCACCTTGTGTAGTTAACAAGAGCCGCAGAGCGTCTGGGCTCATCTGAGGTCTGTTGCTACGATTATAAACGTAACATTTAAGTCGTGCGTAGTACCACATTTGTTAGGCGCAGATATGCAGATACGCAGTTGCGTACACATCATTTCAGCAACCTTCTGCATTCTGCATACCTCCCAAATCCCATTGGTTGATACAAATCGCGTGCCTGAAACTCCTGTTTTATGGTGCATTGTGACCCTAACCCTAACCATAACCCTATTGAAAAAAAAAAAGTAATTGTTGTAAACATTATTTGTTGTTATGAAATTGTTGTAAATAAATCATGTAAATATTTGCCTTAATTGGAAAGAAATAGTTAAATGGATAAAGATAGAAAAATACAGAAAACAGGTAAATAATAAAAAATCTGATGGGATTCGATCCAAGGACCTTTGAGCCGTAATCCTGTGCTGTAGCCGTTAGGCTACCCAGACATATTGGCTATCCAGATTATGGATGTGCCATGAATATGAGAACACTGTGACATCATTGAGGAAGTTCAGGAATCCATGTTTAACCCTCCTCTTGAAGGTCAAAAGGTTATCAGACACTTACTCTTCGCCCATCAGTGGAAAGCACATTTCATGGTCCTTTCAATAAAGTGATAAAAATGGTAGGTCACCGCTGAAACAAAAAAGTTTTTCACTCTGTCTGTTAGCCCATGTCCTCAGAAAATGTCTAAAATCTGCCCTTTCCCCCACTGCCCTTTGACCTGTGACCTCCAATTTCGGCACAGTGATGGCTTTTCCTACCATGATTCTATACACCGACTATCACGAGCCTAGGTCGAGCCATTTAGATTTGTGCTGCAATTCTGCATTTCCTCCCTATACCTTAAGTTAAGGAGGGAATGTTCCCCCTTCTTTTACACCTCTTGACCTTTGACCTTTGACCCCCAGCTTCGACATCCCAACTCGTTTTCGGATTCCCCCCCCCCTGACTTTGTCAGATGAGCTAATAAATACATAACCTTACATCCAAACGCGTATTAGATTGTCCAATATCACTGCTGGTTACTAAGAAATGTCTAATTGAAATCCGCAGTCCAAAAATCAGTTGTTTAGTTTAAAACCGCTGCCGGCGAAGCAGATGTGATACAGATTTATATTGCACCGGATATTTTCGCACGCATGCTCGGCCGTACGCAATGCTATCATCAGTGATTTCGTAAACATGGACGCTCGTGATAACTTTTTGTCAGGGCTGTCCACGTGCGTCCGTGATTAGTAGGTGTGTTTTATTCCATTTCCATGTTTAGTCGTGGCCGTGGTTACACCGCTGACACCTCCATTTCATCTGGCGTCCAAAACATAGGGGCCGCACAAATGTTTACGTCATCGCTTGACTCCTGGACGTGATGCGGCCATGATGCCGAGGCGCGCAGAGGATTGACACTTTGTGTCTTCCAATCACAGCCTACGCCGCACCATCGCTTGACTCCTGGATGACATTTACGGCACGTAAATGATACGTTGATACATATCAACAACCGATTTCAAGTCTTGTTTGTAATGTAACCAGCAGTGATATTGGACAAACTAATACGCGTTTGGCTATAAGGTTATGTACTTATTAACTACACAAGGTGTCAGTTACTCTAGCATTCGTCAACATTGCATAATCAATGGGCCTAGTATGCCTTTAATAAATTAAATTTTTCAGTAATAATTTCATTTCATATTGGTGTGCGATTTGAAGCTACAAACAGGCATGCTATAGAAACAACATGGCTGTCGGTTTACTTGTTTGATATATCGGTCCATGGACGTCTCTGCCTCATCACTGAATTCAACATCATCTGCTCCGTAGATCTCACACGCAATCGTCTTAATCTTCTCTCTCATTGGCATCTGCATAAAGTAGAGAAAAACACAAGATATTAACATGTTTAAAGTACCTTCCTAAAGGCGGAAGCCCTAATCAACGTGCATGCACGTACATAAAGAGGGTGTTTATTTGATGTTTTATACTTTTTACCCATCTCTCTCTCTCTCTTTCTTTCTCTCACCTTCTTACACCAATATTATGATAAATACTTACCTGCAAATCGTAGAGAAATTTAAAGTTGCTGGGCACATCAGTTGCACGAATAACAGCTTCTGCCAAGTCCTTAGCACCCTTGCCTCCATGGGCCCAGTGAGTGCATATGACGGCATCGAATGCACCATTCTCTTTCGCAAGCTTCTTCACCAACTCAACCTCGTTCTGTGTATCCGTGCTGAATTTTAATAAAAATTGCTAAATTGCATATATAGTTAAAAAAAAGATTTTAATTGTAAAGGTAAATAAACATGCTGGTCTAAAAAAAAGGGGGTACAAATGGGTCTTAAAAATGGGTACAAAAAACGTGGAACCCCCATGTGTGGTACGTTCACTACCTCAAATGTATAATTGAGGTAAAACTCACGCAAAGCTGTTGACCGCTACAATGACGGGTACTCCAAACTTCAGAACGTTCTCAATCTGTTTTCGCAGGTTGCAGAATCCCTTTCCCAGCAGTTCAAGGTTCTGGAATGAAAAAATTTTACTTACATTGAGAACAGCCTCAGACTATAGAGGAAATGTGCTTGGAATATTAATAAAAAATAAATACATGTAACCAGCTCAAACAAAATCACTTGACGGGCATTATAAATGAAACACTATACCAGAAATTACACAAATAATACTGACCATATAGTAATTTGCTCGATATAAATCAGTTACCAACACTTTAAAACCAGCAACAACGACAGCTAGATCTATATGTTTACCCAAATCGGTCCAACCAATTATTGTAAACAGTTATTATTAGCAACAAATGTAATGTGCGATGTAAGATGAGAGTAAAATACGAACCTCTTCCACGTAAGGTTTAGGCAAGGGCACACCAGGTGTCACTGGCGGTCCGCCACCATGCATCTTCAATGCTCGTACGGAGGCAACGAGCACGACTACGTTGGGAACTAGTCCAGAGTACCTGCACTTAATGTTGAAGAACTTCTCCATACCGATGTCAGCTCCAAAGCCTGCCTCTGTCACTGAAATCGTACACGACCGAAGATTACATTATCCGTAACCGTGCAACAGCATATAAGCAATATAAATGTACCTTGCTAATTAGCCTATCTGCTCAGTGATTAACAGCTAGGTATATCTCCATCTATTCAACATTATGACATCCGCGAGCGACAGCAGCGTCATTCTAGCGTCTACTGCGGTGACAATGTGGTGGAGTGGTGGGATTTCTAGTAAAGCCACTAGTTATTCCCAATGTGTGTACATTACCGGACGCCGAAACAGTGATAGCACAAGCAGTGGTATCAGGAACCGTTCCTCACAAGGATATGTTCGTCTGAGATCGTTATCGAAAGTGCCACCAGATGTGCGCGTACTTTACAAGTACGCTGTGCTTCAGATTAAAGATGGAAGCTCCACTCGTACGTAGTACGCAACAACTATTGCATAGACAGAATAGGTAAGGCACTTATCCATTTACCTAAACGCAAGGCCTAACTATGGCTGAATAGAGAGCTGCGCCACTGTAAGGCTTAATTAACGCAGGCTAAAAACTACACAGTACACAACCACAATGCATCTGGCAAGTGGCTACTTTACATGTACACTGACAGTCACAGAATGCCATAGAAATATACGATTAAGGATTCATAAACCTCTTCAACCAAAGTTAGCTTTGAAATTTCACACTGTGACATGTCAGGCCTCATACCCAGGCAGTGTATATGATTCTAGCTACTAGCAAACTCCGGCAGTCAATTCTTCTAACAGTAAAAAAATCATGTAAACGCCGTCCTTGAGGGTCAAAAGTTATCGCTCCGACACTTACTCTTCGCATGTCCGACCAGCAGAAAATGACATTCAGGTCCTTTCAATAAGCCATAAAATTGCTGTCACCGCTGAAACAAAACAGTTTTCAATCGGCCCGTCAGACCATGTCCTCAGAAAATGTCAAAAAAATCTGCCCTGTGCCCATTGACTCTGACCTGTGGACCTCCAATATGTCAGCACAAGTGATGGCTTTCCTACCATGATGCTAATATCACCGACTATCACGAGCCTCAGGTCGAGCCGCTTTAGATTTGGCACAAGGATTCTGCATTCCTCCCTATAATGCCTTAAGTTAAGACAGGGAAGTCTCGCCCTTCCTTTTACACTCTTGACCATTTGACTGCTTGACCCCCCAGTTCGATCATCCAACTTCGTTTCGGATTACTCCGCGCCCACGTCCCGATATCGTGAGCCGATCACGTCAAGCGGTTTAAGATTTGTGCCAACTGTTCATCTAGACGGGAACGGACTGCACGCACCAGCACTAGCAGCTCATGCTGATTCTCAACATCTCACTGACATGTCAGATTGAGGCTAAAAAACATGGGGCATTCTAAGAACTTAAATGAAGCGCAGCAAATTCGACCATGTGGTGTCCACGTGTGAAAAACACGCATAAACTGTCCTAGCTGAACTGACCTAGCAACAATATCCAAGGAGCGCATGGCTATTTTGCTGAACAAGATGACTACGCGAAGTAAAACCTATTCTACGTCTATTATTGGGTTTTGGTTTGATTTAAACGTTGGCGATATGATCGCGTCAGGATACATACCAACGAATCCGTCGCTTCCAACCAGCTTCAGGGCAATCTTGTCAGCTATGATGGAAGAGTTTCCGTGCGCAATGTTTGCGAACGGTCCAGTGTGTACAAGCACGGGCGTACCCTACAAGAATCAAACCTCACTGGTAATTTGAACAGGTCTGTGTAGGCAATACAAAATGTAGTTCCATTGGGTTGGCTTCCAGAGCTTGGTCAAAATAGTTGACATCATCTTACCAATGAATAGTTAGTGCTGGATTACTAGTTGCAAGTTATGTTATTCCCTTTAGGTTCTGCTAACCTTTTCTATGAAGATGATAATCTACAATATACAAACTACACACTGTACCAGTCAGCTCCAAAAAGAGAAGTAATGAAACATGCAAATATGCACGACTTAAACCAGAACCCTAGTATATAAAATTGGGTTACCTCTAGTGTCTGCATAAGTGTTGGCCTGATAGCATCTTTCATTAACACCATGAGAGCTCCACCAACACCCTGTAAAAATGGGAGAAAAACATGTCAAATACACACTTCCGATAACATCCTAACACAGAATTGTTAACACTGAATTAAAACTACTCAGCCTTCCTTAATACATAGAAACACTTGAAAATAGATGTACGATAAATATAACTATCAATGACCATTTCACCGTTGATCCTAAAAATAGAATCCTACGTGCATACATTCTGACATTTTCCACGATAAAGTAGAGGATTGATTCACAGCCGGTGGACTTACAAAATCGTCTGCTGTTACTGGGTTGCCATCCATATCAGAAGCTACGACAATCTTGCCGAGCTTAGCACGCATGTCTCGCATATCTGTTGTCAGAGCAAGAATAGCCATGATCTCACTTCCAACAGATATATCAAACTGCGTCTGCAAGCAATGTCAAAAAATTAGAGCATCCGTTACACAGCAGCAATGCGTTAGTGACAGCAATACATCCTTCATTAGAAATGAACTCAAATTGCAAAAAGCTTGTGCAGACAAACGGCTCTGTCCTCTACGCACGATTCATAACAGATCGTTAGCTCTCAACACAATTTGGAAATTTCGCTTTGGTTTTGTATACATACCTCCCGAGTTTTCCCCTTCTCGGTCGGAGACTGGCCAACAGTGATTTTGCGCAGGAAGCGGTCATTGGTGTCAATAACCCTGTTCCACGTGATCGTTTTTGGATCGATGTTTAGCCGCACAAACTTTCTGACCTCCTCTTCAGTGAGAGAGTTAGGGTCGGTCTTCTCAATCCCTAGTCTCTTGAAAAAAAAAAAACGAATTTACATGTAATTTCACATGCCTACATTTTAACATTCATGTGACTGGTATTAGATATTAAGACACACGTGTAGCATATGTAGGCAACATAACATTTGATATAAAAACCAACCTTTAGTCTTGCCAGCTGAATGTCACTGAATACTCTTTTTCCCTTTTTGTCTGGCACAAGCCTGCTGTACAAAGCCTAATAACAGAAAGACAGGGAACCCAGAGCATTTAGAATTTTACACCATTATTTCGAGTCCATGAAATCACCCACGCTCACAAACTATAAAAATACAAAATACATAATAGTCGCAATAGGAATGGCAATAATCAATAATCACAGCATATGCATGGCTTCTGGCTAGACTTAAATGTTTTTGCTACTATAGATGAGTATAAGAATCATTAAACTTTTGACCAGTAGGCACAATGTGAAGTTTATGTGAGGTGCAAGTTTAGTAATAGTTTAAATGTTCAATATTATTGCATGCAGAATTTTGGATGGATAGACCCAAGGACTTCTATGGGAAATTGGATATTGGAGATTGAGAGATTGGAAGAGTTTGGTCAACAGAACTATAGGGTGGAGATTCATTACACAACGTTAGTTTACAGCTTGCAATACTCGGGCTGCACCCTGTCGATTTTTTTTACATGAATTACCTTTGAACACTCTACTCTTATAGTTTAAATTAAAGGGAGAAAATTTGTCGAAAGCAGTTGCCGCCACGCTTCCACGTTCGGCGGTGGGTGACACACCTCATCCTTCTGCGTCGCCTCGTGAAACATCCTGGCGTCAATCTGGGCAGCGAGCAGGTTGTTAGCGGCCGTGATGGCGTGTATGTCACCCGTCAGATGCAGGTTGAACTCATCCATGGGAATCACCTGCGAGTAGCCCCCACCTGCAGCGCCACCTGTGGGTGCCGAGAGAAAGTAGCAACAGTGACTCCATACTACTAACTGTAGCGCAAATAATACACATCAATCTGTCTCCGATGCACCCAACTGCACTTTCAAGGCCACAGCTAGACTATCCCCAGCATGAGTAAAGTTCTATCCAAAGCATAGACGCGTTAGCGACGACATAATTTTTTGTCTGACCAACATTTTTCAGAGTAATCAGATGCATTATTACATACATTTTAGAAGATTGTTTTTACTATAAAACAATACGTACACATGAAAACATATTAAAACAATGTTATCTTACTATTTGTTTAACAGAAACTGATATTAAAGGAAAACTGTAAAGCACATTCATTATCATCTGTTAAAACATGTGTAGTACGTCATAATGCATAACCATTTCCATGCTCAAGGTCAGCTAGAAGTTATTAAATGATTCCGTATCGTTTGCCTACCCTTAATTCCGAAGGTTGGTCCCTGTGATGGTTGTCTGAGGCAAGTCATTACATTCCTCTTCAGTTCAGCACCGAGTGCCTGAGACAGTCCAACAGCGGTTGTGCTTTTCCCTTCTCCGAGAGGAGTGGGCGTAATGCTGAAAATATGTAACGAACACGTTGTGTAAAGAAAATGGGTAAAAATGTATATTTTTCATTTGTTCTAAGAGGGACTTGATCGCCATTGTATATATATATATATATAAGGAACTTTATGATTTTTTTAAAATAAATATCCACTACTTTGTGGTCATTACAGCTCGTATCCCGCATACCCTGTGACTAGGACGTATCTGCCATCAGACTGAGTCTCCAGTCTCTTTACTATTGAGAGCGAGATTTTAGCCTTTTTGTTTCCGTACAAGTCCAGCTCATCTTTAAGAATGTTGATCTCTCGCGCAACATCTGCAATGTTCTGCACGAACACACATGCATGGTGAGGAAAACATACAAGATGCTGAGACTTTACTTAGTAAGATTACAGTAAGTTAATCTGCTCACTGTGACGTGGCACAAGAGGATCTGTACATGCATAGACAAACTGTAGGCCTATAATTTTCCAGCTACTGATTGATTGCGTACAAATGGTTGCCTTTTCATACTGCTTGACAGAAACATAGAAATGGTACCCACCAGGGTTGTAGCCAGGACAATTTTAGTGCTGGCTAATATCGCTGAAGGGGTCGTTGTCGTATCAGGTACTACATATATGTACCCGAGGTACGTATATGTATACACAAGTGTACCAGACCTGTATCTTCTCAGCATATATGTACCCTATGTTTACATAAACGTACCTGCCCCTGAGATGGAGATCGAATGAAGACGGTCATGGAGGAGGAGTAGGGGGCAGGAGGAGGAGGAGGAGGAGGAGGAGGAGGAGGAGGAGGGGAGGCAGAGAGGAGCGGGAGAAAGTGATGGATATCGAATGAAGACGGATCATTTGGAGGAGGAGTAGGGGGTAGTGCAGGGGAGAAGGAGGAGAAGGGCAGAGAGTAAGTGATTGGAGGTAG